CCCTCTGTTTGGATAGGGTAGAAAGTGGAGGAGAGGAAAGAAACTAGGAAAGAAAGAAAAGGTTTCCTCTGTTTGGCTTGCAGAAGAAAGCTGAAGAAAGAAAAAAAAAATATTAAACAAAGCTAAAAGAGATGGGACCCATTTTCCTTCCAAAATTGGGAGGAAATGGGGAGAAAAACGGAAGGAAACGCATTAGCTCATTGTTCTTCCAGTTTCACCCTTGGCAGCCATCGCTTCTCTTCCTCTTCCCTGCACTCTCTCGCTCTCGCTTACCAACAGCCACCATAGAACTTCTGCAAATCCACTCCTTCTCTCCTTCTCTCTGCAAAACGGAAGGAAACTCATGTTCCGCCCTTGCCTGCCGTTCCCTACTATTGCTCAGCCATCGCGCCTCTGCCTCTCCAGATCCACTCGTTCTCTCTCGCTGAATCCGTTACCAAAACAGCCATGAAACTCGTCTCTGCAAACCCACTGAGGCGCCAAGGGTGGTGGAGGCAATGGTGGAGTTGGCGCAGCCATGTCGAGTGGTAGTTTCCAATGGTGTTTTCTTTTTCTTTTTTCGTGGGTGGCTGCTGCAAACGACAATGGATATTCTAGGTAAAGTTTATGAGCACTTGTTTGGGAGCCAAGAGCGAGCCGACATGGAAGTTTAAATATAAAACTAAACTGCGTTCGCAACGAGTAAGAAGCCGTGTGAGGGATTGGGGGTTATAAAAGAGACTCGTTCTAAAAATTAAAATGAAAATGAGAAAGGACACCTACTTTTAAAACCCATCTTTCACTTTTCTCTGTTAGCATAGATGGATATCACACAAGGGCAGACCCAGGTCTCCCATCACTCTCTTTCCTTTCGAGTATGTCTTGGTCTTGAACGGGTCCCGGAGGTTTTTCACCGGGCAGAGTTGATGCAGTAAGTGACTCACTATATTTGGTTGTGGTGAGGTCAAGAGTTGGATGCATAATGAAAACAGTTGCGGAAAGTCGATCATCACGTCGAACAAGAAGCTTAGCTACCTCTACCAGTGCTAGAATGTGACCCATAGCAGGTGCGGGTATAAACACCACCTCTGCTTTCTTCATTTTTGCTTGAAAAATAAAAACTTCTAGCAAGAAGCTAGGGACGAGTGTTGTTCCCTTAGGATGTCTTGTGCTGATCTATCTTGTCGGAAAGTATAAATCTTGAATCTCTGAGATAGTGAGATGTCTTGTGCTGATATATCTTGTCTTAAATATAGATCCTGAAGGTCTAGAATCAAAGTGATGTCATTGCTTTGCTAGCATGCGGTGGACTTTCTGTAGTCTTGAACGGGTCCCATCACTCTCTTTTTGTGCAATAGATCTGCGGGTTTGAATACCACTAGCGTCTACTTCATTGGTAATGGCTTTTTGTTTATATACAAAAAGTTGTGGATTAACTCTTTATTTTGCTAGTAGCTTGAACTTTGGATATGTATTCGGTGTGTGAGTTATACATATATATATATATATATATATATATATATATATATATAAGTGTGTGCTTGAATTTTTATGGACATGGTGGATCTAATGATACTAGAAGTTTTGATGATAATGATTTTTCATAAATATAATTCCATGGTTGCAATCGGGTAACTGGATGTTTAGACATTATTTGTCTCTCCATTCAAAATCAATCTACTTTTTGTACAAATTTTTACTTTAAAGTGATGGGAGGTACTAATGTTGAATTTCTATGAATTTCATTTTCAAAAAAGAAAAGGATAAATTGATTAAAAATTCTAAAATTAATTTGAATTTTTTTTTACTAATTTTTAATTTATTTAAGATGGCTCCAAACTTAACCCCGAAACTATTACCAACGATCCTCGAAAACCGTTACTGAGCAACCTCTTTGGAAAGGCCATTTGAACCACCAAAGAAGCTCCACAAACACCCCCAAACCACCCATAAAAACCCCAAAACCCATAAAAAACGAGGCCTAAAACCAACCCCAAAAACAGACCCAACACCTATCGAAAAGCTCCCAAACTCAGCCCCGAAACTGTTACCAACAGCCCCCGAAAACCGTTACAGAGCAACCCCTTTGGAAAGGCCATTTGAACCACCAAAGAAGCTCCACAAACACCCCCAAACCACCTTCAAAACCACCTAAAAAAACCCCATAACCCATAAAAAACGAGGCCGAAAACCAACCCCCAAAACAGACCCAACACCTATGAAAAGGCCCCAAACTCAGCCCCGAACCATTACCAACAGCCCCGAAAACCGTTACAGAGCAACCCCTTTACAAAGGCCATTTGAACCACCAAAAAAGCTCCACATACACCCCCAAACCACCTTCAAAATCACCTAAAAAACCCCAAAACACATAAAAAAAAAAAAAAAAGAGGCCTAAAACCAACCCCCAAAACAAACCCAACACCTATCGAAAAGCTCTCAAACTCGAGCTCGAAACTCGTTACCAACAGCCCCCGAAAGCCGTTACAGAGCAACCCCTTTGCAAAGGCCATTTGAACCACCAATGAAGCTCCATAAACAACCCCATACCAGATTCAAAACCACCAAAAAAACCCCCCAAAAAACCCACCAAAATAGACACAAAATATCCCTCAAGACATCCCCCGGAACACTTTTTGGAGTTAATGCAAAAGAAAAGAATAAATAAAAATTATTTGTGATTTGTCTCATTTTCTCGTGATTCAATTAACTTTCGATGATTGTTCGCAATGTTACAATATATTCTTTTTTTTAATTGCTTAATAGTAATTGTTTATTCTAAAAAAAACGGAGAAATGATGAGTAAAAGCAACTAACTTATTATATGCATAGCTAATAACACATGTTATACATATTTAAATTAATTTTATGTTGATAATTAATATAAATTGGCTATTGGATTAATTAATTAATAAACGAGTTATCGGTTATGCTATGGAGACGATTCATTATCTATCTTATCATTTCGGATATATGCTTCATGCTATATTTTTTTATCTATCATTTGTGTTATTTTCATGACAAAAATATTCATACAAATTTATTATAAGTATTTAAATATATAAATATAATCACAAGGGTATTATAGTAAATATATAATCATACATTTTCTTTTCTTCCTCTTCCAAACAAAGGAAATGTATTTTCTTTCCTTTCCTTTCCACTCTTATCCAAACAACAAGTGGAAAATGATTTTTTTTCCTCCCTCTTTTCTTTTCTCTCACTTTCTTTCCTCTCTTTTCTTTCCTCCCAAGAGGAATTATCCAAACATAGGGTTAAGTAGGACGGGGGACCGCGCGTGAAACACTCAAAACGTGAAATCCAACTTTCATTCTTATCTTTTCTCCCTGTTCAATTTATAATTTTCCTGATTTTTTTCATATTCAAATGAGCGAGGATGGTTGAGTAAAAACTAAGGTTGAAATTGAACTAAATTTGATTTAAAGAAGTTGGAATTGAACTAAATCTGATCTGGTTTTTTAAAGTCTGGACCTAAATTGAAATAAATAATATTGGACCTTTTTTTTGATCACCCAAAATCCCCTTGAGGTAGGACCACCTAATTATATTTTTGTATTTAATTTGACTTGTCAAATTAAACAATAATTCATATAAGTATGATGGATTTTGAGTTTGTGTTTCTATTTTATAACGAGCCCATATCAAGATAATTAGAAAATATATAGATAATTTCAAGGTTGAAATTTGAGAAGTATATCAATAACTTAAAGATATATTTAAAATAATTATTAAGGAATAGTTTTTTGTTTTTATGACGTTTGGGGGGGGGGGCCTTTAATAAATTCTTTTAAATCTA